GACTTCTATGTGCAGAATTGACAGATCACTTGACGAATATGATGACTGATTGACATATAATAGAAATCTCGTTTCCCGTTGCAGTTTGGCTTCGTTTGTGACTGGTATTATTTGGGCCCTATTTCAACATCTCTATTTTTATTGGGTCCATTTCTGGGTACTGTGATCATCGGTTACATGGCAGACAAGTAAGTAATGTGAAATAAAAGCGTGATTATTTCAAAAGCCACATACTTCAGAAAAAGATTTTAAAAAACTGACACATAAATTAAAGAGCGGTGGTCGTCGCGCCACGCATGCGCGAGATATGGGTCTCATATAAACAACGATGGCGACTTAGACTGCTGTGTAGGCGAACGCGTACAAACTGAGGCGTTACCAAGCTTTAACTATGTAATTTCTTTGGTGATTCGAAGATATGAAGAAGTGATAGGTGATAGTTAGTTCGGGCTCAAATCTCGTACTTGTAACTTTCATTAGAATCGTGAATTGGATTGTGGGAAAATCAATGTTTATCAACACATAATCGCAAATGCGCGGCGCGACGACCACCTCCCTTAGTAATTTCTCCATACATATGACAAGCAGAGTTTGTGTATATAGCCGATGAGTTGCGTTCGCACGATTTAAAAAATGAAAAGTGTGGACTTCTCATTCTTTCAAATCAACTAGTACACAGTATCTCTCAAAAAATGTTATTTACATTACAAGGGAATACAGGCCACTTCTTTTATTATGCAGGATTGGCCGACTTCCAACCTTAATGGTAAACATAACTATTTTTGTGGTGTTTGGCACGCTGCAAGCTGTAGTACGAAACGTGGTAATGTTTATGATATGTAATTTCATGATTGGTATACCGTATTTTGGTATATACTACCAATCGCTTTTATTGGGTAAGTTATATTTCTCTTGTTATATTTATTTTGATGAACATCTTTCACTGATACAACCATGGCTTACGTTTAGTAATTACGGTATCTGTACTTAAACATGTATACTTGTCGTTATATTGTAATACGCATATATGCATATGTCGTATTGTAATAATCATTGCCAAGCATTTCCATGACTACAAAATCATATATCAGAATTATATTTGTTATCGTTGTACAAGGA